GTGTGTGCGTGTGTGCGTGTGTGCGTGTGTGCGTGTGTGCGTGTGTGCGTGTGTGCGTGTGTGGGTGTGTGGGTGTGTGGGTGTGTGGGTGTGTGGGTGTGTGGGTGTGTGGGTGTGGGTGTGTGTGTGTGTGTGTGTGTGTGTGTGTGTGTGTGTGTGTCTGTGTCTGTGTCTGTGTCTGTGTCTGTGTCTGTGTCTGTGTCTGTGTCTGTGTGTCTCTGCGCGTTTGTGTGGGAGTGGGGGTGGGTGGGTGCGTGGGTGCGTGGGTGCGTGGGTGCGTGGGTGCGTGGGTGCGTGGGTGCGTGGGTGCGTGGGTGCGTGGGTGCGTGGGTGCGTGGGTGCGTGGGTGCGTGGGTGCGTGGGTGCGTGGGTGCGTGGGGCGCGAGCGCGTGCGTGGGTGGGTCTGTGTTGCGCGTGAGTCTGGTGTGTCTGTGTGTGTGTGCCTGTGTGTGGGTGCGTGTGTGGGTGGGTGTGTGTGCGTGAGCGCGCGTGCGTGCCCGCATGTGTGCTCGTGCGCGCGTGCCTGCGCGCCTGCGGGCGGGCGGCGAAATGACGGGAAATGGATAGAAAATCAATGGAAAATGTGGAAGATGGATGGAAAACTGAAGGAAAATCTTTGGAGAATGGATGTGCGTATGTGTGCAAGTAAGGAAATGTATGTGTGTTTCTGTTGTGTTGTTGTTGTTGTTGCTGCTGCCTGCTTAGCCGTCCTTGCAAGATCTGTGAAGTTGAGCCTCGCGACGCTGCCGCGGCCGGTTGTGCGCCAGCAACGTAAATCCGGCTACGCTTCCTGGGGTAGCACGTCGCTTAGCCTGCTAGCTTTAGCTATAGGGGCTGCACCCTGGCGCCGCCGACCCTCGCCACTTGGTCGTGATGCGCTGCCTACATCCGGCACCTCTGCATCACCAGCTCGGGCTTGCGGTTTCGCTTGCTTGTAAGAAACCCTCGCAAAAAATCGTGTGGCTGACATTGTCAGGGTCTGGGTTGGGCCTGGGTGATGCTTCAGCGGGGCTTGGTCTGCAGTATCAACACTTCCTTCCAACCCATGAAGCACTGTTTTGTAGAAGGTTTCGGAGGGGTATAAGCGAGGCTCATTTTTGCGCATGTTGGCGCCAAGCGCTGCCGGGCATGCCAGTGATGCTGGGCCCTCGCTCTACAAAACGCTGTAAATACCGGGTTCTCGGGCCTTCTGGCGCGCGCGCAAGCGACCCCAGCCACAAAACGCTGCTATTTACTGTGTGTTGTTTGCTTTTGCGGGCTGTTCTTTTTGGGCTACTATTTCTGGCGCCTCTGGCGCGTGCGCGCGACCCCATGTCAGCCTTCTGGGTTGGGGCCCGGCCGGGGCCCAGAAAGCTGGCTGGGGTGGGCAACATGCATAACCTAACCCCTAACCAGCCATATCATAGCACAGGATACGTTTCTCATACAAGAAACATGACATGACATGGTAAAACTTCAAAGAGGCGTAGCCGGCTAGAGGCCCCCAGAAAGTATATCGTAAGGCGAAGGGTCAAACTTCGAGCATTGGCGTTTGTGCGACGGCGCGCACGCTCCTCTCGGCCCCACTTTGCGCACGTCGACTCGGCAAAAAAAGGCGACCCTTGTGCTTCTTTCTCTGTTCTTGTTTTTGCTTCTTGGTTCTCTTCTGCACTTCTCTTTGAAGAAAGCAGAAGCTGTCTCTCCTCAGAGTCAAGGGCCTTGTTAGCCTTGTCGCACTCTCTTGAAAGCATGCGCACGCCTTGACTTTGACTCGCCTGGCCAGAGACTTACGGCCTCAAACAAAAGGAAGTCAAACAAGATTCGCCGGAGAAATCCTCTCACGTTCACCGGGCTTGCCATCTGGAGCGCAACACTTTGACTCGCTTCGTCTCCTGTGGAAGGCCGTGCGCGCGGCCCGACATGAGAAGTCGGCCCCAGGGCGCTGCACAGCACCCTCTCCTACACAGGTCACCGGTCACCGGTCGGAATTGAAAGAAATTTGGCCGGTCCTGGCTTGAGCACCAGCGTGGCCTCGAGCTGTCCCTCTCTCCATGCCATTAGCACCCTTCCCAGTGCTGAGAGTGTTCCTGAGTATTCTGAGCGCGGCCCTCGCCTCGTCGCAAGGCAGCACCTGCTGAAAAGCTGCCAGCAGCATGCGGTCGAGAATGGCTTCCATGGGCGAAAAATGCTGCGGTCGAAGATTTCCATGCGTCGCAAGTTCGCAAATGTTCGCAAGTCACTCTGGGCACCCTGGCCCGGAAAGCCAGCGTGCCTTGGGCGTGCTGAACTGTGGCCTGCGCAGCTTGCCAACTCAGAGATAAATGCATTTCACGTATTTGACCAAAGCAATCATGCAAACACGTCCCGCGAAAACCCTCCAATTCAATGCGTGACTTTGTGCAAGAAATGATCACCGGAGCCTGGGTCAACTCAGTATACGGTATTGGGACATCATGCTTGGGTGGCACGAATGGGCTAGATTGAGACACGCGCAAGTAAGTCAATTGGTCTGGGTTGCCCTCGTAGACATTGCGTTCGAGCGTTGGGCCGTTCTTGTTCGGTCTTCGTTGTTTCTTGTTGTTTCTTACCCACCAAGCAAGCGCAAACGCTGCACAAAGACGAAAAGGGAAACTTGTTTGATTCAGTGAAGTTGTGGAACCCAAACCTGATGGAACTGCTTCTATCATTTCAGCACGATTGGATCACACTTGCTTTGATGCAAGGTGCTGCGAGTTCCAGTGGTCAAGGCGTGTTTAGTCTTGGCGTTGTTTTGGAATGCATGTTTGCGCTGTTGCGGCATCGGCGTGGTGGCGTAGCGTCCTGCGCGTGCGTTCTACCAGCCTGCGCTCTCCAGCCCCCCCGAAAGAAAAGAAAGGGATCCCGGGGGGCAGAACCAGTAAACATCGCGCTGGGAGCTGGGGCAGGCTCAGAGCACATTTCAGACACGAGCTTCCACATAGCGGTCCCTCGCCCCGCGGGGCAGAACTCGCTCTGAACGACTGTGCGTTGGGGCCGTCTGCAGTGTACACAGACTCATCTGAGCCCAAAACAAGAGATGCCAAACCGGGCCCTGGTCTCAAGCAAACGGCAAGAAATGGACTGTTTCGTTATTTTTTCCCGTCTTCTTTCTTACCTTTGTCCGTTCTGTTGTTCTTTACCTCTGTTTCTTTGTTTTTAAGCGTGCTTTTCTTCTCACGTCTCACTTTGTTCATGTCTCGCTGCGCTGGCGCTCCTCGTCCGCGAGCTCCGGGCCGTCCTGGCTTTGAGCGCCAAGGCTGAGACGGGAAAGAGAGCACGGAAAAACACGGGAAAAAGAGAGACAGAGCGAGAGAGAGAGAGAGAAAAAGAAAAAAAGAGAGAGAACACGGAAAACAAGGGAAAAGTGGGACAACAGAAAACGGAACATGGGTTAAAAACGAGAAAAAGGAAATAAGAAAATGATGAAAATGAAAGCACTTCGAGGAAAAGAAGATGAGAAGAGAGAAAAAAGATTGCGGAGAAAGGTTGAAAAGAGAAATGAAGATGCAGGAAAGGAGCAATTTCAAAGAGGTCAGAAAAATGCCAAAAAACAACTAAAGGTCAAACGAGCTTTACAACTTCTCGATCTCTCGTTCTCTCGATCTCTCACTCCTCACGGGCTCCGGCTCCCAGTTCAGCCAGGCCACCGCGCCATCAGAAAGCACCGCCATAGAAGAAGCTCTGAAACAAAAAGTCATCTTAAAACAAGGCACAAAGACAAGGAGACAAAGCAACAAAGGAGAGGAGTGCAAAATTGAATGAGAAAAAAGACCGAAAGAGCGAAAGACCCGAGTCAGAAGGATAGGACAAGGCAAAATGAGGCAAACAGCTGATGTCAAGAGCCTGTACCTTGCACGCGCTTTCAGCTTAGACTTGCAGCTGGCCAGGCGCTCTGGAGCCCAAGAAACTGCGCTGCGACGCGCACGTGTTGCGTGGCAACAGACGAGGCGCACGGGCGCACGGCCTTTTGAGCCAACTTGCTACTTCAGAACGCGCAAAGCGTACCTAGCTGCGCCCATTGAAGCCTTCCCCATGGCCCATGGCGCACTTGTGAGTGCTGATCAAAGCTGCCCAAAGCCCGGAGAGGATGAACGCCAACTCAGACCTCCAAATCGAAAAGGTGAGGTGCTCAGAAACTGAAAACTTTGAGGCCCCAGCGCGAAGCTCAGCTCGCAGTCCCAGAAAGCCTGCGAACTGTCGACCCTCTCACTCCGTCATTGCTTTATCTTGTTGTACGCCAGGCGTTTCCTGTCCCTTTCCTTCACCCTGTTCTTACCTTTTTCTTCCCTTCGCCTCCCTTTTCTTCCCTTTGCCTCCCTTATTCGCTTTGCTTCCGTTTGCTTCCCTTTGCTTCCCTTTTCTTCCCTTTGCTTCCGTAAGGGAAGAAAAGGGCAGCGAAGGGAAGCAAACGGAAGCAAAGGAAAGGAAAGGGAAGAAAAGGTAAGAAAGTGAAGAAAAGGGAAGAAAAGGGAAGCAGAGGGAGAACAAGGAAGCAAAGGGAAGCAAAGTGAAGAACAGGGAAGCAAGGGGAAGCAAAGGGAAGAAAAGGGAAGCAGAGGGAGAAAAAGGAAGCAAAGGGAAGCAAAGTGAAGAACAGGGAAGCAAGGGGAAGCAAAGGGAAGGGAAGAAGCAAAGGGAAGCAAAGGGAAGCAAAGGGAAGCAAAGGGAAGCAAAGGGAAGCAAAGGAAAGGAAAGGGAAGAAAAGGTAAGAAAGGGAAGAAAAGGGAAGAAAAGGGAAGCAGAGGGAGAAAAAGGACCCAAAGGGAAGCAAAGTGAAGAACAGGGAAGCCAGGGGAAGCAAAGGGAAGCAAAGGGAAGAAGAAAAGGGAAGAAAAGGGAAGCAGAGGGAGAAAAAGGAAGCAAAGGGAAGCAAAGTGAAGAACAGGGAAGCAAGGGGAAGCAAGGGGAAGCAAAGGGAAGCAAAGGGAAGCAAAGGGAAGCAAAGGGGACAAAAAGCAAAGGGGGAAAAAAGCAAAGGGAAGCAAAGGAAAGGAAAGGGAAGAAAAGGTAAGAAAGGGAAGAAAAGGGAAGAAGAGGGAGAAAAAGGAAGCAAAGGGAAGCAAAGTGAAGAACAGGGAAGCAAGGGGAAGCAAAGGGAAGAAAAGGGAAGAAGAGGGAGAAAAAGGAAGCAAAGGGAAGAAAAGAGAAGCAAAATTGCTTCCCTTTGCTTTCCTTTCCTTGCTTGCTTTTTCAGCCTTCAGCTAAAATGGCCACGTTCGAGATTGAATCTGGCATCTTTCTTTGCCTTGAACCAAGAACAAAGCATTGCTGTTGGGTTCTGTTTTATTTCTTTTTCGCTAACCCTTGTTTTTGCGGCTGCTTCGCCGCTGATAATTTCTTTGCGTGGGGCAATACAAAAATTGATACCCGGGCTCCAAATCTTGGCAGCTGGCCTTTCAGGCTTAGCCTCTAGCCAGTTGAGGCACTCCTAACTTCCTTTTGAAAAATCGTGTTCTCCGCTGATACTTCTTTGTGTGGGGCAGTATCAAATGGCTTCTGCTACTTCTGCTGGCAACTCTGACACCGAAGTCAAACTGGCCAGCCGTTTCGGCTGCCTTTTTGCCAAAACAAACCTTAACAGCCTCACTCCTGCGCGAAAAATTTAGGTTCGACGATCTGAATTAGCGCAAGTATGCGTGGCTAAGCGCCTAGGGCTTGCGAAATAGCTTTGGCTGCGAGCCCTACGGCCCTTCACTTCCCCACTGCTGGCGCGAAATGGGCGGGGTGAGCTTGCCCGCCAAGGAGTACGCTCCAATTGGCTGAGCGCCTTGTAGGCGACGGCCAGCAAGTTCGGCATGCTGAACCAAACTGTGACGCGCTCCACTTCAAGTGGACGCGTAGCCCGATCGAATAGGCTATTAAAGCACATTGCCGCTCTGTGTCCGTCCACGAAGTGATGTCGCGTCGCTTGCCTGTTGACGCGCAGCGCGCCGCTTGAATCCGACCACTCAACATGGCACAGCACGCCGTTGACGCAGTCGTCCTTTTCCCGCACATTGTTTGCGAGATAAAGCTGAATGCCTTTGTAGACGGGCACTTCTGAGGGCTGCGGCGGGCGATCCTCTCGCAACTTTCCAGAGTCGTAGTTGTCTGGATTCACTTCGACGTCGCCCGGCAAGGCGGCCCAAGGCTCGTTCCGCGGGCGCTTGAGCTGCAGGACCAGTTCGTTCAGCCGCGCGGCTTTCTTCTTCGTGCAGGTGACCATGGTGGCGTTGGGGAAGCGGGCCAAGCGCTTTCGCAGGTCGGCAAGGCTCGGCTTTTCGCCCGGCCAAACCTTGTGGCCTGGCTAGTTCGCAGCGACCGCAACTTGTCCAAGAAGGCAGGGCCCTTGCAGCGGTGGACTTCGTTCAGCTTTGCAAAGCGCGCGACGCGCCGCTGCCAGGGCGCGGCGGCGCGACCCCTGGCAGTTGGTACTTGTCGCCGAGAAAAACCAAGGCGGGCGAGCAGTCAGCGTGCCGCCACTGCCTGAGGATGCGCTCAAAGTCCTCGGCGCCCAGTTGCTGCAATTCGTCCACAGCGATAAGATCAATGCCGCGAAGGGCGTGGACGGTTTGCTGCTCCGGCAAGTGCAGCTGGCAGGCTGGTGTCAACAACCCTTTCCTTCCCTTTGCTTCCCTATGCGCCCCGTGTCTTTCCTTTGCTTCCCATGCTTCCTTTGCTTCCCTTTTCTTCCCTTTGCTTCCCTTTTGTTCCGTTTGCTTCCCTTTTCTTCCCTTTGCCTCCCTTTGCTTCCATCCTCTTTCTTTTTCTTCTTCGCCTTTTTTCTTTTCTTTCCTCCTTTCCTTCCAAGCCCTCGCTTTCCCGCCCTTGCGCAGCGCCTTGATTTTGGTCACACACAAGACAACTTGTAGCACATGGCATGCGCTAAACAGAAATGTACGCTCAACAGAGCCATGGGGCAGCGCAGGCATCGTGGCGCGGTAAGACTCTGTTGCCATCAAGTCACGCGCTTCCCGAGTAGACCCAGCGCAGAACTTTGAAGTCCGTGAGCCATGTGGTGGTCAGGCAGTTACAAGTGTCTTTGTCACTGACTCATGAAGTCAGTCCAGCTGCTATCACCATGTCTATGTATCAATCACAGCTCTTTCAAAACCACGCAAAGGTTTTGGAAGTGTGACGGAGACGGTTGACAAGCATCGGCGCGACGGTTGCCAAGGCATAGTGGCATGAGGCAGTTCGACACGTTCCTCACTTGCTCTTTCTTGCTGGTGCGCTTCATGGCAGTTCGTCGAATTGCAAAACTGCGCTCCTCGTTTTGACACTAGCACTCTTGAAAATAGGTTGTCTACGCAGTCACTTGTCGAGCACGAGCATCCTCTCTTGGTCACACTGCCTTGCTTTTGACAGGATCTGTCGCGAATTCTGCCTTAGCACCTGTCGTAGCCTGCACGTCTGCCACCGACCAGCGACTGATTACACATGTCGTGCGATTGGTACGGAACCCTCCATGCTAGATAGTAGAGTTTTTTTAGTAGCGTTGCATGTTGTTCGCATAGCGTAGGTAGTTTGCACTGCAGGTCGCCTCGATCTCGTCGTGATGCCCGGGAGCGGTACACGCTATATGGGATCATGACCTCAAAATTTTCAAAGGAACGCGCGCGGACTATCAGCTTGCACGGTTGCGAGGGTCATGTTGGGAGCCTGATAGGCAGCTGACTGAAGACAACACCAGGTCAGTAGTCAACGGGCGCAAAAAAAGTCGGAAGACTAAACCAGCTTTGATTCAACCTGATGGCAGTGGGGCCTTCTTTGCTTGATGCGGGCAGGTGACCCTAGGGTGACCGAAACTTGCTCCGACACGTTTCACTCAAATCAATGTCCCCTGCGCTTCCTGATTCCCCTCCCGCCTTTATGAGATCGGCGACAAACTTGCTGAACTCCAGCTGGGCCTGAGGCTTCCAGAGTCACCCAACATGAATCAATTCACAGCTTCCACAGCTTCCTCAAACGCCGGTGGCAATTTGGAGCTAGCCCTTCAGGAGCCCACTGCGTTTGAGCACTGAGCTAAGACGCACCCCCCCCGTGGCTGGCGCCACGCGCATGCCAGCTCCATCCAGACCCACCGGTGAGAAAGACAGAAATACAGAAATGAAGGAATGAAGGAAGGAAGGAAGGAAGGAAGGAAGGAAGGAAGGAAGGAAGGAAGGAAGGAAGGAAGGAAGGAAGGAAGGAAGGAAGGAAGGAAGGAAGGAAGGAAGGAAGGCAGGAACGGGAGGGAGCGGAAGGGAGGGGAGGGGAGAGGAGCGGAGGAAAGGAAAGGGAAGAGAAGGGGAGAAGGAGAGGAGGGAAGTGGAGGGGAGGGGAGGGGAGAAAAGGGAAAGAAAGAGAAGAGAAGGAAATCAGGAAGAAAGACAGAAAGATCCAAAGAAACAAAGGAGGAAAAAGAATCAAAAAAGAAAGAAAGGCAAAAACAATCAAAGGCAAAAGAAAGAAAGCTGGACAAGAAGGAAGGAAGGCAGGAACAAAAAGGAAAAAGAAAGGAAGAATAAAAAAAGAAAGAAAGAGAGAGAAAAAGGAAGGAAGGAAGGAAGAAAGGAAGAAAACAAGGGAAGGAAGAAAACAAGGGAAGGAAGAAAACAAGGGAAGGAAGGAAGGAAGGAAGGAAGGAAGGCAGGAAGGAAGGAAGGAAGGAAGGAAGGAAGGAAGGAAGGAAGGAAGGAAGGAAGGAAGGAAGGAAGGAAGGAAACAAAAAGCAAAGAAAGCAACAAATACGGAAAGAACGACAGAAAAATCAAAAGCACAAAAAAGAAAGGAATACAGAAAGAAAGACAGAAAGAATCCAAGACAAACAGCAAGAAACAAAAAAGAAAGCAAGAAAAATGGAAACGAATGAAGAAAGCAAACAACTAAAGAAGGAAAGGAAGAAAGACAGAAATACAGAAATGAAGGAAGGAAGGAAGGAAGGAAGGAAGGAAGGCAGGCGGGCAGGCAGGCAGGCAGGCGGGATGCCAGGATGCCAGGCAGGCAGGCAGGCAGGCAGGCAGGCAGGCAGGCAGGCAGGCAGGCAGGCAGGCAGGCAGGCAGGCAGGCAGGCAGGCAGGCAGGCAGGAAGGAAGGAAGGAAGGAAGGAAGGAAGGAAGGAAGGAAGGAAGAAAACGGACACGAAAGGGAAAAAAGAAGGAAAGCAAAAATGAAAGAATAAAGAAAGCAAAAAAAGAAAGAAGAATAAAAACGACAGAACGAGCCAAAGGCACAATAAAGAAAGGAAAAAAAGAAGAACAACAACAAAAAACGAAAAGAAACCAAGACGAAAATCAAGTAAGAAAGAAGGAAAGAAAGAAAATAAGAAGGGGAAAGAAGGAAAAGAAAGCAAGAAAAAGAAAGAAAGAATGAAAGCACCAATGAAAAAAGACAGAAATAAGAATGAAAGAAAGAAAGAAAGAAAGAAAGAAAGAAAGAAAGAAAGAAAGCCGAAAAGATCCCAAGACAAAAAGCAAGGCTGAAAGAAGGACAAGACGAACGACAGAAAGAAGGAAGGAAGGAAGGAAGGAAGGAAGGAAGGCAGGCAGGCAGGCAGGCAGGCAGGCAGGCAGGCAGGCAGGCAGGCAGGCGGGATGCCAGGATGCCAGGCAGGCAGGCAGGCAGGCAGGCAGGCAGGCAGGCAGGCAGGCAGGCAGGCAGGCAGGCAGGCAGGCAGGCAGGCAGGCAGGCAGGAAGGAAGGAAGGAAGGAAGGAAGGAAGGAAGGAAGGAAGGAAGGAAGAAAACGGACACGAAGGAAGGAACGAAGGAGAAAATACAAGAAGAAAGAAAGACAGAAATAATCAAACACAAAAAGCATCCAAGACAAGAAGCGAGAAAGAAAGAACGACAGAAAGAATCAAAGGCAAAAGAAAGAAAGAAAGAAAGAAAGAAAGAAAGAAAAATGACAGAAAGAAAGAGAGAAAGACGGAAAGAATCCAAGACAAAAGCAAGAAACAAAAGAAAACAAACAAACAAACAAACAAACAAACAAAGAAAGAAAAAAAGAAAGAAAGAAAAAAAGAAACAAAGAAACAAAGAAAC